AAGCCTTGCACTCCTTTTAGGCTTCGTTATTTTTTATTCGCGTCGGAAGTTTAATCTACAATCTGATCCCTGATTAATAATCCCTGTAAAACGGAATATTGTTTTTTCCCCCGCGCGATTGTGTTATAACCAAATTTTACATACATTCAAAAATTTCGATTTTCTAAACTTGTGTAGCAGATAATCTTTGGTTATCCAAAAACACATCTATTAATATGTTGTTGGTTACTTTCTAATCTATATTTCTGTAAGGCAGAAGCCGCGTTTTATCGTATGTTATAATATTTCTAAATCTCGAAATCTTAAATAACTGTGGCTATACATTAGCCACCGTTAAACCACATTCGTCAAAATTTGTGAACTATATAATATAATCACATTTATATATATATAATATATATATTTTTCATATATTTTTAAAGTTCTATATGGGTTGTTCTCCAGCTTTTCAAAAAAAGATCGACAATTTAACTCTCTCAGTAAAATTATTCATAATCTTACACATATATGATTGTATAATCGTTATAAAAACACGAGATGATAAATAATTATGTAATATGTGTATTAAATGAAATAGTTTAGGCTATATTCTTAACCCTTTGAGACATTCGAAAGCAAGATGCACGCTGTGTACGAACGAGCTGAAACAGGATTTGTTTCGGTGTGCGGAACACTTTTTCGCATTAAAAAACCGTTGAATTATTCAATTGTTCAATAATTTCTATCTATGAATGCCTAAAGGCACCGATGGTACACAGTAGGCGCTTTTATCTCGAACACCTGAGGACGCCGATTACAATCAAAGGGTTAATTGTTCGAATAAGGATTATAACTTCTGATGTAACAATCTAAGTAAAACTTTTCTCAATATTTGACGTGAATTATCATAATGTGAATAATCACTTTTACATTTGAGAGAGTTAAGATAGGATCTATAAAATTGTTTGTGCCAGATTCTTATTTGCTAGTAAAATACCTATCTTTGATCAGTGCTTTTGGATGCACTTTCGTATAGAATTTCTCGGAGCACGATATGAAGAACAGAAACTCCTCGTAGAACTCTCTGTTCATTTATTTGGCCTTTGAAAAAGAAAAAATCCAATTTGATTCCGTCGGAAGTTTGAGATTGGCATATTAATAACGAAAGATTCAAATCGTTACGTTTGATGGAGACAATAGCAAAAAATAACTTTCAGTCGTTTAAGGTAGAAATAGGCTATTTATAGGATACTATATACGCATACTCGGGAAGAACATCAATCCGGTATATGATAGCAGAGCTGGTTAATCCTCTTAATCAGAATCCTCTTCGATCGATGGAGGTAACATGGAGAGATGCTGCGCACTGAGCATCCCTTTAGAAAGCGCATATTCGGCTAGAGCACGATGGCAAAAGACATACTGATCCGGCATTTGAATACTGTAGGCCCTCTGTGCTCTGATTTTCTCGACGGTTCCTCGTATGTCTACGGTTCCGGTGTCCTCCAGTCGCGATATGCAAATGTCCAAGGTGCAAAATGTACCTGGAAACACGCCAACTCAAATACATGCACATCCGGAACTTGTGTATCGCGGAAAAATGCCGCACCGGTCGCGCCTTGCCGTCTTCGATTGCAAAAAGTTATCTATCTACCTGTCCTTCCGATGCCAGCGCTGCAATGTACAACTATAGGTGGTCCTCGGGGATGTCCGGCCCATGTGTCTCCTCTACTGGCGAGTAATTTGCTCTGTTGCTGTCTCACTAGGGATAAGAACTGCAGTAAAGCTTTAGCCGATTGAGGAACACCGTAATCTGGCCACGCTGTGTACAGCATATGGCAAACCTCCCTCGTCTCATCAGTCTGAAATGTGATAAATAAATGTGAGTAAATAACGAAATGTAATGAGAGAAGAAAATATATGATATAAATATATATATATATACCTTATTGTTTGTAAGGAGAAGCATGGATATTGTATAATCTGGATTTGTATCAACTTCAAGAGTGGTCACGGTGAAGCCACCCGCTTGTACTTCATCACCAGGTTCCGGACCCCAGTACTGTGCGCACTTCGTGCGGCCTCGTTCCACCACTCTGAAAAATGAGTTATTTATATGAAATTGCAATTCTTCACTTTAATACAGACATGTCAAGTTTGCGAGAAATATTGAAACATTGATATATGAAATATTACAGACACTAAATACTAAAAAAATATGTTGAAATTATTTAAAAAGTATGAAAAACACAATCCACCTTGTTGTCATGACAACGACCAGCGTTTGCTGTTCCCAAACCATCCTCCAGAAATCACCGCAGGTTTTCGGAAGAGGACCCTGAGTGCTGATAAACGCATTCTTCTGCTTGTAACCGTCGACGAAATTCGCATTAATGTAATCAGACGTCGCGTCCCCGTCTATTTGCGAAAGGCAGACTCTGCTGTGATCGTAGCAGAGCACGTCGGTGTAGCGATTCTTTGATTGATTAGACCTTAACCTGGAAATGAGCGATACAAGAGTATTAATTAACTCGAATGGGACTGGCGTATCGTGCAAACGCAAAATATTACTGTTACACACTTTGCATTATTAAATGAACCATCCGGCGGTCTCTGTCTAATTTCCGCGTATTCCGCTATGAGGCCAGCGCGTCCTCGAGAATGTATATCCGCTATAAACTGTTCCATGGTAACAGCCTGCAGTCCGGGATCGCCGTGGAGGCTGTCGTCATCGCTGAAGCCCGAGCTGGCGGAGGACGGAGGCTGAACTGGGGATGGCGCCTCGTCGGTTCCGATCCAAACGTCACCGTTCGCGGCGGTAATTTCGATGTCGCCGATGTTCGACACACCATTTTTCACCTGTTTGTTCTTATCGATTATAGGACTAGTCGAACTACTGTGCGTTGTAGTTCCGTTGGGATTTTGATGAACTGTATGATTTTTCGCTGTGGGCGAGACAGGTGTACCCACTCTCGGGGTGACCTAAAAATACGCAATGCACACTGCAGATAAAAGATGTTGTCATTTAAAAAATATCAATATTTAAGTAAAAGTTTCCTTTAAATTTTCTAAATCTTCTCAACACAGCTTCGCGCTGCTTAAACGACAAGAATGGAAAGTGAAATGTAAAATGAACGCAGCATGGAACGTGTTGACGCAAAGAAATAATTCAAAATACAAAAATTTCAAACATTTGAATTCGGAAACTATCTTTCCGAATATTCAATCATTGAATTACAAGAGTATGTATTTTTCAATAACACGAAGTGAATATTTGGCGGACTTAAATTTGTATGCGTGGACTGACCTCGCACAGTTCACCCCCGCCTCGGTTCGTCATGGATTTAAGGCAATGAAGTAGCCATGCTTCATGCTGTATCTCCAACGTGCCGCCTAAACGATGTGGTAATGATTCTCGTGGGATATGTAACGTCAGCTGAGGGATGGACACTGTGAACACTCGATCCCTCAGTTTTTCACGAACGAATAGTCGAAGGATCTTGAAGGGGGCTTTAAACCACAATGGTGCAGTCACTATCAGAACTTTCTTCAGTTTCGCTGGATAGCCTCCCTGGAAGAGTCATACAGAAAGAACGTTACAAATAATTTAACATCACCGCGTAACACTATTTCTGCTTAAGACATTAATTAAAATTATAATTTATATTAATTTCTAATCAAGCATTTGACATTTTCTGTCAAAGCACATTAAAAATAACAAGTGTGTTTAATTATAGATAATTTTTCCTCGTAATTTTAGATGTTTAAATTTAACTTTTACATTTCACAACCAGCGGATTAAAATGTTGGTGGAATCGCATATCAACGCGATATCTGGGATTTTAATATTTTTATCTTCTTACGACGGAAACAGTTTAGTAAGACGGTTTATCGCGAATTCACATAAATAATTTCTAAAAGTACGGTTGCGCTTGACCTTTCAAAGGCGTTGCAATAATAGAACAGTCCATATATTACACTGCATTAGCGAATCGGCTGCCAAGTATAGACCGCGTATATCGACGCGAAGGAAACGTTTTTGCGTGCGATAAGCGCGATAAGTGCTTCTTTAAATCTCAGTCGAATGGTCGAATAATCGCAACACCCCGAAGAAACTACGTGCCTTTGCGTCTTCCTCGCCGTGATTTCTCGCATTAATCAGCAAATTACCGTTCTACCGACGAATGCGACGAGGCGAGGCGTTACGCGAGCACGAATGAACGCGCGTTTCACGTTTCCCAGTCATTTCGCAACACGCATAAAGTAGAGGAAGCCGAGTAACTTAACCCCCGGGTACGGAGCAGAGGGCGGAAGTACCGTAACGCCAACGACGTCAGCAGCACTACTACCACCACCGAAGGCGCGTAACATCAGCCGCTACGTATACAACAAACGTCATCGAAGTGCGAGCGCGTAACGAGGACGAGACAGACTGGCGCGATTCTGTTCCGGGAAGAAATCTCAGTTCCGCGACCGCGAAGCGGCGTATAATTTTAGGATCGCACGAGCGCGCAAATATAACGTCCCGAATTAGCCGAGTCAAACGTTGTATTCCGACCGCGCTCCGCTATTTTCCGCCGCTTCGTCAAATTCCGCGAAAAGTCACGTTACATGTCGGTCGGTCAATCGATCGACTGACAGTCGAAATTTACCGTGAGCAGCCGCTGCCGGACGCGGCGGGAACGGCGGGTGAAATCGCAGGCATATTAATTACGAGGTCGCCGCGGCGAAGCGGCGGCGACGATTCGTCGACGATTCGTCGAGCTGGCGTCTTCCGCACACTCGCGCGGGGCATGCGACGGTAGTCAGACACTCGGGCTCGGTAGTCAAAATCACCGCCGGCACTCGGTCAGCAAATCGATAGTGCGAGATTAGTATAACACCGCCGGAGCGCACACTTAACAGCGGGAGCGACGAGCGGCGTCGTCGTCGTCGTCGTCGTCGTCGTCCGAGCGAACGGAACGATGTCTTCGTTGTGGAAAAACGCTGGCCTCGCACGCGAACAAGGACGCGATCGAATAAACGGGGGGAGAATCGGGTCGTTCGTGCCGAATGCGACAAGGTACCGCAAGGGGGTCACGATGATTACTGACCGCCAGCGTCGCGACGTTATCCGGAGCGCAGAGACGCATGCGTCGGCGCCGCCGCTCTCGCTCCGCACGCGACCCCTTCTTTTCATCCACCGACATCCCTTACGCGAATTCCTTTTTTTTGCACGCCGGCGGCGGAGGTATAGCAACCGTGTACGCGGTGACGTATTGCCCGCCAGTGCCTCCCAACCGCAGTTTCCGGTCGGAGCGGTGCGTCGAGGTCGATCGCCGGAATTCCCGATATTTTATTCGTAACTCGGAGATTTCGATGAAATATTGCACGGACTGTTCCCCGGTATAATTAATCATTAATGCTAATACGCGCATGGATATTCATGTGGAAATATCTGCGGATCTTGGAAATGTTATTTCGAAAATTTCATTATCAACGATAATAAAATAATGAATCATTTCCTTCAGATATTCCAAATATCTCACGCTATTCCTCGATCGTTTATTTCATCGCACCATGCGATGCTATGTTGCAGCAGCAACGGTTTTATCGTAAACTACTATTCGCGAATATGTTCCTCCATCAATAAAGATAAAATTGTGAAATTCAAATCGAACATCGTGTAACGATATGTCGACGCTACGCAATCATTCACGTATACGAATACACGATGTACCGTCAAATTCGACCATTTACTCGTTCTGGCAGAAGACGCGTGAAGCAACTTATGCGTATCGCGATGTGCATGCAAATGTCATCGCACACCGAAACCTTTATAAAAAAAAAAAATACGTCGTCAGACAGATACCTTGGAAGTACGGTTCACCGCGCATTAGAACCCGATTAAATTGCACGGTGCGTGAAGGTCTTTCACACCTTCGCGCTCCTTCGATAACGACGAAAATATCTCCTTGGAAAAAAAAAGAGATAAAAAAAACCAAGCGAGACTCCCGTCTATGATCGTCCCTTCGAGTTATTTAATATTTTGTATAATTACGTCAGTGATGTGTACTATATATAACGGATGCATATACGCACATACTTTGTGACGTTATCAGGGAAGGAAGTTTCTAGGAAACCTTTGAAAGTCACCCTACGTCATACTTTGATGCGCTTCGTCGCGTAATTGCAAATCCACTTTTCGCGAAGCATAAACTCCCCTAAGCCTTCGCTGCTCTTTGAACTGCACATCCTCACGCGCCAAAAGCTGATTTAGATTTTGCGGCTTATCAAGAAGCGGCAGTCTCCAAACAAAAAAAAAAAGAAAAGAAAACGGAGCAATTAACGCAGTGGTAATGAGTTCAGTCTCGGATAAAAATTTTTTTTAACGAAGCAGCTTTACGAGGCAAGTGCAAATTTTTCTCATTCGTTAAGAGCGACGAATTATTCACCATTAAATCGAAATTATCGATTACGTAAAAATTGGAGTGGCAAGACGTCACGCATACATTCAGATAATGATACCATTGAAGTGACGCTGCATTCGGAGGGGCCAGGAGAATCAGATACATCACATATGACACCATTTTTTACGTAAGTGGGCTGACCGCATCAAAGCATTAACGCACGAGACTATTTCGACCGACCGGCGATGACTAATTGGGTTAACTTCAGCGACGGTAATAACTGTAATGCCGCTCCGCCGGACGAAATTGCACACAACGTGAATGTTAATCGGACCACGCATTTAGACGTCACTGAAGGCACTTCATGCTCACGTAATTCGTATAATTATTATTACGCTCGTATCTTTATCTAGAGAAATTCAAGAGAACAGAAAGTGTATTGTCCTAAACATTGCGTTGCAGTAAAATATATACAATTCCACAAATTCAGGCCGCAGATAGAAAAACGGTGTGCTCTTTGCGAATTTTTAATTACTTAAAACGAAAATTGTCGCCAAGAAAAATATTTTCTACATTTCATTGCGCTTAGAATAAGATGGTTTCAATTTTCATATAAACATTTGTCACCAAATATATTTTAGTGATTAATAATATTATAATAATATTATTAATAGCTATTATTTATTATTATTATATTATTTATAATATTATTAATAATATTAATAATATTATAATCAATAATATAAATATAAGCTATTTGTTACTACGATATTTACAATTAACCAGATATATTGTTCCGACTAGAATCTAAAGGAATAGCACAGCATCTTTCTTTCATACGGCGACATTCGTATGTGACAGAGCACCTCTGTCACGTTGGTGGGGATAGAGAAATGAGACCATATATTGCTATACATAATGGATATTCGCCGCAAGACTCACTCTCCTCTCACTCTCGATCACGATCTTTTCTCGCTTTCTAACCCCGCTCAACAGCGGTGCTCCGCTTCGCTTGGATGAAACAATAATCGTTACGCTGCTTAATCATGTCGCATCGCAAAGTATTACGCATATTTCGAGAGAAAACGGTGTGTAAATCGATGTGTAATGTACGGAGAAAATATCGATGATCTTGCCACTTGGATGTCTAGCGTGTGCAGAAAAAAAAAAAAAATAAATAAAATAAAAAAATAAAATGCGAGATTCTGCACAAACTTTCTTGCGCAGTAATGTTGCAATAGGAAGTTGAGAAATTTCTTTCGACGTTCATCATATCCTCGCGATAATAAACGGAAATAAACTTCGCGCTTCTTGGTCATTTAGGCAAGACGCTTGTAATTGATTGTCATACATTTTTCTGTACTTGGATTTCTATTCGCGCCTTTAAAAACCTTTCCCAATTTTTCACAGATTGTTTTTATATATTTATAATACATTTATATCTTATATGTAATCGTAATCTTAAAAATATATTGCTTATGTACATGTACATTGTCCACACAGTTCTTTTTCTTTTATAAACTTGAGTAGAATTAAAATCGATTTCATGCCTTATTTCGAACACACCGAATACGCGCGTGCAATATTATTACAATAATGTTAATATTCAAAATGTATCGCTCGACTTACCTTCAAAAGAGTCAGAATTTTCTGAGACAGGTCATAATCAAAGTTCTGGTACTTGCTGTCAGACATGTCATAAATAAAAACTAGACCATGCTTCTGCGTTTCTGCGCTTTCAAGAGCAGCATCTAATTGGTACACAACACCCTGAAAAAATTAATCGAGCGTGTTACTTCACTATTGCAAGTTTCGTAAATTTTGTGTCAACAGAAAACGGAAGATGTCTCCAATTATTTCAATAGTACAAAATTGTTTATTTAAAAAATTTTTTTCTTAATTCATCCACTAATAATACACTTTGCAAAACTCACTTGCAGAGTTGTTTGATGTGTAGTATTTTGTGGAAGGTGTAAATGCGCCGTAAAAATAGCTATTGCTGCACCTGTTGCATCTCTTGATGGCTAAAATTATTTATAATTTCCTTCAATGCGTATAACGATAAGCCCACAAAATGCAGGCATGCGTTAATTGGCTTCCTCATCTTACCAGGACAGTAAATTTTCCTGTGTGCAGTTCGCTGAGTAAAGGTTCCTGAGTAGGATGTAACACTGCTAATCCTTCTCTCCTTCTGGTGGCTTCATGCTGCTCGTACAGAGCTAAAGCTCGTTGAACCTCGAACTTCCGTGCCGCTAAAAATTTCACCGCCGTGCTCCAGGATACTGGCCCGGCTCGTCTCCCGGCTCTACACTTATTCACGGCTTCGATAAACTCTTTCGTGGCCTGGAAAAGAATTGTTGGACGTAAGTATTTTTATATAAATTAAATTGCTCATTTCGCCTGCATTAGCTTTCATCGAATTAAAGTATTTGTGTAAATAATGATTTCTTTAATGTACAAGCAGGATAAAATGCTCTTTCACAATGTAAAAATAGCACGCTCCTATTTCTTTTATTCTTCTTTCTCGCGACAAAAGAAAAGTGAGTGTGCTTGTTCTATGAATAAATAATCACTTGTGTTGCTGAAACCGGCATTGTGCAACAGAATGTGTATTGGGTAACAAAATTTCAGTCATAATCATTCAGCATCTTACATACATTGTTGCACAATGCCAACCTTGAAAACGGCGCTTTGCGTTAGTAGCGTGCGGGCAGGAAACGGTGAATTACAATCTTTATCAGCGCGACCCGATCGATGCGAAGGCAACATGTGCATATCTCGATTATTCGTCGGCTCATCAGTTCGTCACAAGTAACCTTATTGCATTAAAAAGAGCAGAAAAAAAAAAGAGAAACTCGACTTATGAATTTCGAAACTGGTATAATTTCGCTGACCTCAAATTTCAATGATATAAGCATTTGAAAATTCTCTCCACGTGCTAATGGAAGCGCAACAATTGGCATCTACTTTTTCGCATTTAGAGCGCCGGAAATTGAATCGGAATTTTAAGCGCGAATGGTGATTACGGCGCTTTTATTCCCCGCGATCGATCCTCGCCTCTCAATCGCACGGTCATTTTCATATGGAGCGAAGAAAGTATCGGGATTACATGCTGTTAAGACGGGGACGGGACGGAGAGAGAGAGAGAGAGAGAGAGAGAGGCGACGTCGATCGTAATTGCCGATACCGTCGTAATAGCGACGGTATCATTTTTACACTATTAAAACGTGCAATGACCGTGGATGACAGTGAGCGTACACATATACGTATACACGCGCCGGGTATACTACCGATACAACTTCCGGTGTCCGGCTACCTCCCCACCGGCCATTTCCGCTATATACCAGCCGGCGGGGACCGGCACGGTAAGTGGTATAGGTCGACGTATATAGCTGGAGCGCCGAGGAATTTAATACCACAAAACTCTCTTGATACACATTTCTGCAGCTCGTGGCTTTTACGTGCGAATCGCTCGCGCAATTCGCCGCACGACAGGAAACTATCGACGCGAGCGAACGGTATTTATATTTCATCGCGATATTATTTCTTTTTGCCACGCGCTATCGAGCGCTTCGCCGGTACGTTAAACTGACAATGATGAGAGGAATTGATGGAAGTGTTAACCCTGAGCTTGACAAAGCTAAACGAGTGAAATTAGAATCGCCTAATGGGAAAAAAAAAAAGAGGATCAAATCTATGAATAAAAAATTCGTATTTTTCTCAAACAAAATATAATAGTATAGCGAAATAATATGTGGAACAAAAATATCACAGTTACGATTATTGTAAAGAGAAAATAACAGTGAGTGATTTCAAGGACTGTTTTTCACACACATTAGAATTTGTCGCTTTCTCAGTCTGATTAGATAAAAATTCAACACAATTAAGTAAGCTTTCCAACATGAATGACTACTTACAGCGGACGAAGGAAGAATGAAGGGATCTTTAATCAGTGTTAATTAATCAAGCGTGACGTTGTAATCAACCCTTTACGCGTTACAGAGGAAACTACCTTTAGTAAAAAACAAGATTATCTACTTCTATAACGAGGGACGCTCGTTCGCTAAAAATATATAGCTTCACGGCAGACGGAAATTCAGCACCGCAAATCGATACGCGGGAAAATCTCGTTATAGAAGCTTCGTTGAAGCTTCAGATCAAGTTTGCCTGCACTGAGAGTTTGTTATGTGGAATGATCCATGTATTGATGTCGCCGTCAATTAAATAGACTCGGCCAATTGTACGGCGAAATTGCGAATGTGTGGACAATCATTATATCATTTCGCATTCCTGTAACGGCATTTAAAATTTTTTAAATAAATATCTTAATAATTCGATAAATTCAAAGATTAATTACATAAATTATTTCAAGCTGAAATAGTGCCATAAATTCCACATTGCAATAAATAATTTCTCGATTCAGTGACACAAATTATTCCATGAGAAATCGGAGATTGATTTTTCATAGACTACAACGTTTTATTTGACGGAAATATTGTCGTGAAGTTATTAATGCGTAATTTAACGTTACTTGCGTATTTCGACCGCACCCTATACGTAGAATTCATACGACTCACCGGCTATTACATTGATGTAAATTTTTAAGCGGCGGAAGCAGACTAGCGAATAAGCACGTATCGGCAGCGTCGTCGCTATTGACTCGTGCCGCGCGTTCGATAGTGGTTTAAAATAGTGATCGAAATTTCTACATTGAAATGTACGAGCGTTCCAAAAGAGCCGGCTACCGGAAGCACGACCCATTATTTAACACCACGTTAACACGTTCAAATTTCATTACGAACGAACAACCCGCAATCATTCCATTCGTCTTGATTATCGAAATGATAAAAAAAAAAAACTTTACAACATTATCGCTGAAAGAAATGATTTCCGTCGCGTGTTTACGATTGCTATCGCTGAAATGTTCGCGAGATAACAACGAGAGCGGATGCGAATAATGTTTACATTTTCGCGAACGTGCCTGCCGAATCGATTTCAACGATTCAAGGCCCGATAGCTGCGTAGAACCGATAACAATTCGATTGGAATTCGATTTCCAATGTCCTAAGCGCCGAAAGAAACTTTACGCCGCGATTGCCTGCGTGTTTCTATTGTCACGAGTAAAAGTGAAAATTCTCTTCCCATGTCAATATAGGTACGCGTATCCGGACTTTACGAAATTTCATCCACGGTCCGTGCTCGTCGCGGCTCTCTCTCTCGATTTCGAAGACAAGAAAGTCTGATGTGCGTGAACCGGATACCGAACCGCAAAAAGCGAAACGTATATTTGACAGGAATTACTCACTTGCTCCTGCTCGACGGTTAATGTGGCTGCCATTTTGGCTCAACACGCTGACATGCCCGCCGCGCGTACTTATTATTTCCAGTCTCGGTATCGCGTACATTCATCCACAAATGCGAACATTTTGTCGTCCACCATCACCGACGAGCCCTTACTTTACACGACGCACTAATCTTTACAAAGTACAATCATTCTTGATGGCAACGACGGCGGTAGCGAGAAACGGTAAATCATCCCGGCACGAAACCATTGTTCCACCGCCTCGCACGCACTCAAACGCGATTGTGACACGGCTCGGCTCGATCGTCTTCCCTTCGACGCTTGTGTCGCCATCTCAAAAGCGCGCTCGCGCACGACGGTATCTGCGTTATCTTTGATTTATGAATAATATTTGCACGAGAATGTGACCTCATTTTATAGTTGAATCACCGACAAGGTGCTATTAAAACAACTCTGATTAAAATTTCTCCATTGATTATGAGCGATAAATAGTTTCGTCCATAACCAAAAAACGTCTTGTCGCCGAGGTTTTCTCATAGTGTCGTCATCTAGCGATAGCATACTAGAAACGTTTGGATATGTGAAGTTCAATTAACTGCAAGTTACGTAGGGTGCTAAAATACCAATTAATAACCAAAAAGGAATCATGGAGTTGAGTTCAACAATTTGATACCAATAAAATATTAAAATTGTTTATATCGTCATCTAACGATATCGCATTATAAACTTAGACACGATAGAACGTTCATTGATTGTGTATTAAACAAAACTATTAATTCTTTATAGATGTCCATCGTTATATTATGCTACATCATTGTGTGCAATTTGTAATTTCTCAAAAATTTTATAATTATCTGTGAAGCACGAAAAATATAAGTCATCACAAATTTGAAGGTAAATTTATGTTTCTTAATAGATTTTTCGTTACACAAGAGCATAATAGATTTGGTGAACTTTCTTAATTATCAACAAGCAATTTTTTGTTATAACTAATAAATAAGAATTTGGATAAGTTTAAAATTGCAAATCGACAAGAAACTCTTTTTCAATTTCAAGTGGATTTTCTAATTAAACATAATTGTCAAACATTAAATTAAAATTTAAAAAATTACTATATATACTTCTGATATTGAATTGATGAAAGAATCACTCATGTGTCTATAAACGTTCTGCATAACTTATCTGTTCGTTTCACGAACGTTTATTTAAGGATTGTGAGACGCAATGATTCAACGCCGGCATTTTGTAATATAAACATTTTTCTTATTCAAACGTATGTTCTTACATTTACACAGTACAAAAAATTATACTCAGACCTGCCGGCCCGCGGTTCATAACTGCTATGACTGGGGGCGGCCGGTGGTTGTAGAAGGGGGAGGCGTAGAAGGGTAGGTTAGTGCGGAACATTTTAGGGATGGGTACATCTCGTAGGATTCAAAGGTCTGTACATTGTTATACCATCCATTCCACTCCGCCCCCAATACACGGCCCCTTGTTTTCGTCCTGCCGCATTTTTACCGAATACATGCATACATTTTTTTTTCTCTCTCTCTCTCTCATCCTCATCACGCACACGGTTTCTCTTTATCGTTCGTTTCCTCGTTCACTTAAGCAAGATCAACTCTTCGGGTTTCTTTTTCTTTTTAATCATTTACATTCGCACGTATACCTGCTCATACTTCTTTCGGCATATTTAGCAACATTTAAATATCGTATTTTCCGTAATATAATTCCGTAATAATGACAATAATATAATAATTATAATAATGGCATAATAAACTGTCTACCTATGTGTGTATAATGTATATCTTTCGTGTTTCGTAAAGGGCATGTACTTATCGTTATGAGAGTCCTAGACTTCTTTCCTCCTTCGTATTTATATATGTATACATATATGGATGTATATAAATGTATGTACATACACGTAGCAAGAGAACAAACAATAGCATCTCGTCTTCAGCAATAATACACAGAAATACGTTTTTTTTTTTTTCTAGAACTTTATACACCGCTGTTGTGGAGTTAGTACTTTTGTTGCTGCTTACACAATTCCGATAATTGTTACTTATCAACACTAAGATATTTAAAAATTTACTCGTTAAATATTATTTAATCAAGTCGTTGTATGCTAGACGAATGTTGAGATCAAAGAAATTGCGGATTTCAGAATGCCAGTGATTTTTATTCCTTTTCTTTTTGTTCATTCTTTTTTTTTCTGTTTACACATTTATGTCAGCCGTAAATAGTCGACGAGCGTATCGAGAATAGTGTGTAACGACGCTAAATCCGATTCAAAAGCTGCTGTCCGCATTGTCGCGCATTATAAGTGAAACGTAAATATATTGAGAAAGTCTTTTCATCGCACTAGAGCTTGCTTGTGTCACGTTTGCTACTGAACAAATTACCGAAAGAAAAGAAAAGGAAAAAGGGAGGTAACGGAAGCGACAGCAGTTTTCGAATCGTCAAAAAAATGATGGTGCGAACGGCGGGATACATCTCGTCGCTCGCACAAACTATCACGAAATGATAGGAACTCGGCCTGTCATCTCTTCATCATTATTCTGTGTAATTAATTTTCTTTTCTTTTTCTTTTTTTTTCTACCTACTCATATACGATATACAACGCGCGCGCATTTAAACGTCCCGTCATCGTTCAACATTGGCACTTCAAAAGTCGTTCTTTTTATTCTTTTTTTTTGTTTTGTTTTTAAATGTTACGCAAATAATTTATCAATTAGCGTCTCATTACAATATAATTACTGTCTCGTTACAATATATCACTGTCTTTTCGCTTTATCGGACATAGACGGTTTGTATATGCTTTGACAAAAATAACATTCATTTCATTAGTATCCCCATGAGTTATCGGGTAGTCACTGGGTTTATGACAGCAATGAAACGTTTAATCAACTGTCCGTTTTCACATATCCGCTATTACATCTTAGAAAGTTAATATCGAAGAAGTTATTTGTTTTCTATTTTTTGTTCTGATGCCTTATATAATCGAAATGACATACAAAACTTGTAGCACCCTGCCGCTCGCATAACCGATACATACGTCGCCGTAGAAAAAACAATACGCCTCTAAAGAACATCGAACGCTCTGCGAACGACACGAATTATTATCCACTAAATATATATGAAATAGTTTATCTCGTTCACTGTTGTCGAACCGATTGTTTAGGCAGTGTTTTATCCTTTACGCCTTTGTCGCATGAAACGTAAAAAACTTAAATGCGAATACGTATCGGCTATTTCTGGCCGGGGCTTTGATCAAATACCGAAAGCACCAGATCACCAGAGCACACCAATAAACGGATCCACAGTTATCGTTGATCCAGCTATAATAACTCACGCACATTTAATTGCACAAAGGTACTTTTAGATAACCTCCTTTCTCCCTCCTTCTTTCGTGGGAGAGTTGCTATAGCAAAAATTCATTACATAGTATTTCATTATCTACATTTATATAATATAGACAGTGTGTGTATCGGATACAGGCACAATATAATTAATTACAAATAATGTATACAATCCAAAGTCCATCTGGTATCACAATAGTAATGGACGCGGCACTTTATCTATGCGCGATCCGGCCTACGATTGTTACCTTTTCACTGGTAATAAAGAGCTCGTCGGACTTTCACGTCCACTTCTCTCGGAAGGGGGGAAAACAAAACGGGAGAGCAAGAAGGTATTGTGCATAGGAAATTCGAATGAAACAACAAATAACTAATACTCCTTGGCTTAGCCAATGTCACAAAAATCTCCCGTTTAAATATTCGTCAAATATCACAACAAATTCTCGCACCTTTGCGACGACCTTTCTTCTCGGCCTCCTGCAAAAATTCTCTCGGTCTCGTTCAGAGCTCCAGCGTCAGCTGTGCTCAGGAGCGCCGGCAAATGGTTGTCTCTCGTCCGAAACGACGAGACCCGATCAAGGGTGTCAGTGGATCTTAAAATTGCGCGAAGAAGATCTAGGGCTACGTGTCTTCCTTCGTCTTCGTCTCATTGTTGGCCTTGGCGAGTTTGGCGAGAGTCTCCTCCTTGACGTTAGCCAGAATGGTCAGCGAGTCCTTCACAGCGTGGTAGATAATGTTCTTAATCTGAAGTTTGTCCTCGTGATTGGTATGCGTATCGGATAGTGCGCGAAACTCTTGGGTTAGGTGGAAGCAATGCGAAACGTTTTCCGGCGACACAAAGTCCTCGGCCACCTTTATGCAATTGTGAAGATTGCGGACCTGATGCGGCGCGCCGGCTGGTACGAATACAGCGTCGCCTAGACACTGGACAATGGCGTATCTGCGATCAAAAATTCAACATCGTATTAAATATTATATTATTCCGTAGAATCGTTACAAACAATGAATTCTTTCAAGAGCTACTTCAATCTACAAAATAATTTATTTAAAAAAAAACAGCACTTACCCTTCAACACCGTATTCTCGGTACAATCGTTCCCGCAACGGTCCGTCCAAATAACAACTCTGATCGTGTATGGGATCATGATGTGGTTCCAAGCGAGCCCCACGTTCCAAGGCAACGGCATTCAAGAGATCGCGAATTTTGTCCGCGTCGCGCGCCGCATAAATGTGCCACAGTGCACCGGGTGCCTCGCCACGCTCGCGAACACGCCGACGCGTCAGAATATCACAGCCTGCTTCGTCTATCGCTCTCAACGCTTCTGTAAACGACGAATATTTTCATTCGATTAGTTTCTGAACGAATTTCAACTACCGTCTTCGAAAAAGACAATGATAGAGTACGAGCGTAATAATTCCGATTGATTAATCATGCTTAATTAATTGCACGTACCTTTCACATGTTCCTCACTATCGCCGTCTTTTGGAATTCCCACATACACCATAACATTTACGGCGTCCGAGATGTCAAGATGAAGATTAGTCGTGCCTTTGTTGGGATGAAGAGCGGAACCGTAAGCGTTATACATCTTCGGTCCCAGATCCGGTCTTACAAAGCAATTGGGTAAACGACTCGCCAGATTCAGTCTGCCGTTCCTATGTGTGTACTCGGACAATGGAAGAACCTTCATCAGATCCATGAATCGCGACGGCAACAGTTCGGCAAAGTCTTCGCCGGGCGGCCAATCCTTCAGTTTCAGCAGCATCGGATTGCCCCGCTCGTCTTTAAGCCGTTTCGAGAAGTTCTCGAATCCCTCCCAGAACTTGCGCATCGGCTGATTCGGCACCAGATTGCCGGTCATGCAATTGATAAGATCGTTCTTCTCGTCGCCGAAGTCGCGGGCGAAGGAGTCCGGGTGCCAGAGATCCATGTCCAGCGCCTTGGCGACGTCCGACACGATCACCGGCTGTCCCCGTTTCCACTGATCTTGGAAGATTCGGTAATTGTTCGGGTTATTGGGATCGTTTAACCTCAGCAATTTGCCGTCGCAGAGCCAGGAATGCGGTACGTCTGGATAGAGGCTCTTGCTCTCGGTTAGGGTCATAATTCTAATCGGTAACGGCTCTCGACCGCGCTGCGTCCACTTGTAACGTCGCACGAAGTGCTTCAATTCTCGCGGCTTCTCGTCGTCCAAACCGCTATCCCTCTCTTTCTTCACACTGTGCTCGATCACGCTGGATATCACTTCGTCAAGCGTGTCCATCTTCGACTTCTTGCCGGACTTGGCGATGTTGTTCTGCGAGGCGTTATTGCTCGCACCGCCGCCGCCGGCATTCACACCGCCGCCCGAGTTGTTCGTGGGCGAATTCGATCTGGAGCCGCCGCTGCCGTTCGACTTGTTCGATTTTGTTAGCAACTCTCTCAATGTCGAATAATTACCCTCGCGATCCTCGTCCGAGTCCGAGCTCGAACCACTGTCGTTATTCTTGTCCTGGTTTTGCAGCGCCACGTCCGCTAGCCAGTTCAACGGCGAGTTTTTATCTTCGCCGTTCGTCTTGCTCTCCGACGCGCCGTTAGACTCGTTTATCTTCTTCTCCTCTTTCACCTCTTGTTTCACGTTGCCATTGAGAACGGGCACGGAGTCGCCTTTGATCAGGTTTCGTAGGATTTCGTTGGATTGCGACGGGATGACGAGAGAACAAGCGCAATGCTGCGCGATTCCCCACTCCACGCGACACTCGTGCAGACGTTGACCCAATCGCAGAAGACTGTCGCCGGCAATAATTTGCGTGAGCATGAGCCGTTCCGGTTCGTGTGCTTGTCTATTCGTGCACAGAAGCCACGAGAAATCGTCTCTGTCCTTTCCACTCTCGCCCCAGATTTTGATCGTGCCATTTTTTCGTCCCTAAATATATTCACGTTTTTCATTAATATATTTTCTATCTTCGGATAAAAAACCTATAATGTATTCTTATATTAATGTCAGTGTTAAAAAGCTCGAGAAAATATTATATCATATTTCATTCAAATAAATTATTGTCATCATATAATTCCTAGTGTTTTAACTCGACGAAGAAATATCCAGAGCATCTTACCTTGTAACAATCTATGCATACGACGAAGCCGCACTTGCCACAGGCCCAATGATAGTTGAACAAAGTAGTCTCGCACACGTCGCACATCTCCCGAACACCTTGGATCACTCGTTTCCACGCTACTGTTCCGTCTATAACCCCCGAACTCGCTGTCAAAAGGTAACCACAATCGATGCGCAAAGCGTTAAAAACATGCGAGCAAAATAAGTTATGCAAGCAAACATGCAGTCTGTTCAATAATTTTAAAAATAACGATTAGTTGAATTCAGTTAAGTGAAACAGTATGCTATATCTTTTGCGTATTACATATGTATTCAAATGTAAAATTACAATGTAAGTAATACATAAAAAAGAATAAAATATACAAAAAAAAAAAAAAATACCTAACGATGCCGATAACGTTAATTTCAATAAAGCAGCTTTATTAAAACATGCGATACGAATTTACTTATGTATGATTGTATGTGCATATATTTGCGTTAATTAATATGAAAAGGATGAGGGATAAAGTTGTGCACAAAATATATTTTAGTAGAAATAAATCTAGTCTTACCTTCGGCCATATGTTCTTGAAGAGCGTTCTTTTCTCGATGTAAAAGATCACAGAATTGATCACCAACTTGCCGGAGCAATCGATGAGCTGTTTCCAAGTCTAGATCCTCTCGGTCACCTTTGTCCTTCTCGTTTTTCTCCGACTTGTCGTCTTTTCCTGTTGACTCTTGATCTTTATCTTTTCCTGGTAACCATAATCGAAGATCTTCCTGTAACATTGTAACGGTAGTTTCCGTGTGAGAGTATACATTCCGGACTATGAGATCGTTACAATTTAACTGTGACAATCACCACGACTGTGACGTCGACCATTGACTCTATCGATCACGCCGAAAAAAATAATTTACCTCGGATGCATCCTTGTGTGGATCGCTGAACCCCGCTATGGCTAATTGTCCGTTTTTGGTGTAACGCAGTCTGCGAAACGCATAGAATCTGCAGAAGATATTCTGAGGAAGATTTTTAGAGCGCTGGTGCGGCGTCCATCGGCACTCGCGGCACTTGGCCAACTTCGGAGCCACTTCAAAACAGGCGCCGTCCTGCAGCCAGCTCTCGCCCGTTTTTTTCAGTTGCGATATCGGTGGTTTACGAAAGGGATCGCCTCTCCCGCCACTTCCACCCGGTCCACTGTTGCCCCCGCTGGTACTGTCGTCCCTGCGTTCCTTCTTCTGACGAGGCTGTTGATCTTCGCCTCCTACTTCACTGCCTTTCGTAGTCTTTGGTCTCCTACCGCGTTTCCTAGGTTCTTTGTTATTTCCTGTGTGACAAATCGTGTATCACGCTTCATCAAAAAAGTTTAAGCTATCATCTCAATTTTTATATGATTTAGGATAGTTCAGTGTTAAAAAGCCCACAATAAGTGTATAATATCATGTGTGTTGTCAATTTTTTTTATACTGTCATCATGTACATGTTTTCTTAAAAATATATAAAATGTATACATGCGTTTGTGTAATAACATAGTTGGAGAACAGGGTAAGAGTGCGTGAGATCGAATTATAAAAATTCAAAGCTGCGGTGAACTTGAAAAACGTAAAAGATCCAAGAGTATTCGAAATCTTTATTCGCATAGCGAGAATAAAATTTCACGAATCTAGTGTGACATTCAATCTGCTTATCAATCTTATCACTCTTGATTCTCTTGAGTTCTCGTACTGCTCTAGAAAAAGGAATAATCGATACGATCATGGAACGCGGACCACTTACCCTGCAAGTGAATAGTTAGTTCACCTGACGGGAAGACCATTTAGAGCAAGAAGCTACGTCAAAACTAACCGTTTCCCGAGGAATTGTTGGAATTGGCCGTAGTATGTCGAACCCTCGATGCAGGTTGAATGGAGCTCAACTGTTCGCTGGTGTCACTGGCGGAACCCGCTTCGCTCTCGTTACTAGACTCGCTGCCCGCACCAGCTCCGCCGCCTTGCTTATCCTCCTTCCGTCTCCGCTGATCTTCCGCGGCCGTTTGTTGCCTTCGTGCGGCGCCCTTCTTTCGTTTTACCTACCACAGGGCACAGATTATTAAGTAGTCAGGAAGTTCATGCTCTTGCCGCATCTACTGGCCGAAGCTACACTAATCGGCCACACTACTGCTTCAGCACTACCATTCAACACACAAAATCCAAAAATCTATTTAAAAATTAAAGCAAAGTTAATAAATTATATAATACTATTGCAGGCAAGAATAATTTAAGCAATTATCATGTATCGTAACATTTGCATTCTTTATTAATCTATAAAACTATTATATTATATTTGTTATATACAAAAATATTATATTTATTTAAAAATTTTTATTTTTATTTTTATTCAATTTTAATATTATTTGAGAACTTTATTTTCAATATTAATCAGAAATTAAAATTAATTTTGTCCAAATGTTCTCTTTATTTGCTTCCCAGATTATATAAATTTAACAAATAGTATTTATTTTCTGTTATTACAGTGTAAAATTTCTTTCAAGAATCAATTTAAGGTCCAACGCACAATAGAGAAAGTATTAGGAACAAAAATCAATATTAAATATCGAGGAAAAGCAATTTGTTTTATTTCTCAAACAAGGAAATAGAATGGATCAATTATTTTTAATTCTTATTTCCTAACTCATGCGTTAATTCATTTTATTTTCTTGTTTTGAAATAAAATAATTCCAATTTTCTCATATTTAATATTTATCCCTATTCCTAATATTTCCTCTATTGTGCATTAGACCCAAGTCCTAGCAAAATTAAAAATTACGTAAAAAAACTGTCACAAAAGAACAGAAAATAATCTGAATAGCTATTATAATTATGTAAATTCATACATTTGCAATGAATATATATCATTTGCAATTATGTAAATTCATACATTCTCCAATTCACTAAATTTGTCTTCAGTTTCGTATGTTATTGATTTGTATTCTTCAATATTTATCAAGCCTTTCTCAATACGAATATCAACTATATCTGTTGTCTCAAATTTTTTCGGAGTATCGAACCACCTTTTCCATTTCATTGTATATTCTCTATTGTAAAATTTCACATGTAAGAGAGTACAGCACAACATTTACAAAAATATTATTTAATATTTAAATCAGGAAGTATCTCAAACAAATAATTATTAAAACCCGATTTATTATAAAATTTCTGATGAAATCAAAGCTACTGTGTGAGTCTTCTAATATTCGATGGCCTTTCAATTCTAAGAATCGAGGTTAGGTGACCACTGAAACGGAAATCTAAAGCAACAATAATATTTACCCCTTTACGACGTGCATCCATGAAGAAAATTTATTATTCTCAATTAATATTCGATGATAATCGTATAAATCCCAAGAAATAACTAATAAACTGATTGTTTATAACAGTACGTACAAACACTTGCACTCGCACGATTTGCGCAGAAGTCCGTTAGAAATGATTCATCTCACCACACGCTATACGACTGTACTAACGTAAGAAAATGGCGCTTTTTGCGCGATATTTAAACTGCCCTACAAGTTAAATCTAGAGATTCTCATTGTTTTTCAAAAAAAAATTTAATGTTTTAAGTTTGAAATATTTTATAAGCATTTACGCAAAGTGCAGTTAAATTTATAACTCAAAATTAATAATTAAAAATTATATTAAATTAATATATTACAAATGTTAAATACATTTCATTCAAATATTAAAAATATTTGAAATTTTTATTTTTTAAACATCGTTTTCTGTCTGTTAAATTAATATTTCATTAAAAACATTATTTATATATAAAACACAAAGGAAAAATGTTCAAACACATCTGGATTAATACAATATTTGAACCAGGAATTTAATTATAACATATCTGTCATAACATAAAATTATAGATGCTTCCGAATTATTTTCTTACGACAATAACTTAAAAACTGTGGCATAACAAATAAAGATACTGTAAATTCATGCTTCTACAATTTTTCATACGAGATTTCTTGCCTAAAGACACGCTATTGAATATAAAGTATAAAACTGCATCAATTCTCTCAAGTTATTATAAACAATTTTCAACAATAAACAATTTTCAGTCGGTTTAATGCACACGATTATATTCAAATGATCGTTTATAAGTAATTATTCTCACATACTGTGAAGAAATAAAACAAAGAAACGTTTAAAAAATGAACGTATCTTGAAGGTATTCCGTTCCATTTAAGTACGCGAATTTATATGCATTTACAATTACGAATAAGAAAGTTTCAATGACAATAGCGGCTTCTTCTTGGCAAACTATAATAGAAACAAGTACTAAACTAACAGCACAATGTACACACACTTCAAATTACGAACAAGAGTAACTTCCAGCAACAACAATAGCTACTGTGAGCGATCTGTATAGATAGATACCTTGGGTGGCTTTCGCTTGGGCGGCGACTTCCTCTCCGGGTCGCTGCTGGACGAATCCTCCTGTGGGGTCTTACTGGTGTCGGTAGCGTGGCCATTCAACGATTCTTTGTTCGCTGGTTTTCGACCACTTTTGCCGGAAACTTTGCTTTTATTAATGCTATTGACCGCCATGCTGCCGATATTGTGAATCGAGTTGACTGCGCTCGGTAAACAAGTAGTCGACGCACTGCTGTTATTCGTATTCGACGAGGTATTGTTACTATCGCGTTCCTTACTGTTCGACGTCTCGCGAGAAATATTCAGGGGTAGTATGACGCAAGATGCCGGACGCAGGACACTGCTGGCCATGCCAGTGGTGTCTTCGGTGCCGTCCGCGCATCTCGAATGTCTCTGCAGCCACGCCTTCTTCGGAAGTTGATGCTTGTGCACCGGGAAGTTAGCGCTACTCGGCGGTCTCGGCGCCGGACTGTTGGATTTTTCGCTGTCCGCGGTGCTAGCGTTCACCTTGGCGGGCGTGCTGGGCGCGCTGGTCGCGCTTGGCGCAGGACTCGGAGCTGTGGACGGCGCCGGACTGGGTACAGGCGCCGGACTCGGTGCCGCGCTAACTGGTGCAGGATTCAACGAACAAACGCTTCCGGTGCTAGCGGGTCGCACGGAACCGTCACCGCTGGCGGTTCTCGGCGCCGGACTCACCGCCGTCACCACCTGTGCGCGTTGCTCCTGCGTTGTCTGACTGTTCGGTTGCGCGAGAAACACCGCGGTATTAACGACAGTGGTGATGGATGTGGCAGCCGATGCGATGAGCGGACTTGGTTCACTCACCCTGGACAGAACAGGCGGACCGACGCACTGCAAGGATAACGGTTGCGGTTCCTCAGTTCTACGTTTCTTACAGACTTCCAGAGACACCGGCTGGCCGCTGGTATTGTCACACAACAACGGCGTCGGTGCTTTCCTCTTGGGCGAGCCCGGTCTTTCCACACCGAGATCGAGCGGCTGCGTCTGAAAGGCCGTGGTAATCTGAGGCTGCGCGTGTTGCAGCGTCTGATTGGGTTGCTGATGCGGACTGGTATTGAGATGCGCGGGATGAGCGGGATGAGTGGTGAGCCTCGAGAGCGGCGCCGAGGCAGCTGTAGGCGGCGAACCGTGCAATGTCGGCAGCGGCAGTTTCGTACTCGACAACGAGCCGGCGAAGCCGCGGCTGTCGTAAATGGAACGGCTGCTGTGCGCGGGCGGCGGCAGCGGCGGCACCCCGTGATGAGGCACTTGGTGGTAAGGCGAGCTGCCGGCCTTCGAGGTCAACGGTATTGGCGCGGCGACGGGCGGCTCCGAGGCACGGCAGATCGGCGTGCCGGTCATGATGCCGGAGTTAGGCTTGCCGTACATGTGCGGCGGCGCTGGGCTACTGACCTTTGGCTTGGAGCCGGCCGGCGGCGGCGTGGCGTAATGCAATGACACCGTCTGCGAGGCCGTGGGCGGATGCGGATGCGGATACGGATATGATCTGGCTGAACCGTACGGCAAACTCGCGGATTCCGGCCTACTGAGATAGCGCGGTTCAGGCGGCGACGGATGCGGCGGCGGCGGCTGATGCGAATGTTGAGACGGGGCGTGCGGCGATTGACGGGGATTGTGCGAGTGTGGCACCGGCGCCGGCGCCGGCGGCGGCGGCGGTGGATGGCCATGCGGACTCGACAGTTGCGTCGTCGCCGTCGGCACACCGCCGCCGCTTCGATGATGGTTCGCGGGCGGCGCGATGCTCTTCGCCGTCTGCAGACCGTCCAAGTGCGCGGAGTGCAAATGATGAGGGCTTTGCGTCGGGCTTCTGTATTCGTACGACTTGTGCTGTGGCCCCACCGACTGAACATAAGGCAACATCTTCGGACTGGACGAGTGCTGTGGCACCGGTGCCTTTGGTAGCTCCCTGCCCTCGTTCTTCACGATCACCGAGCTTTTGTGATCTGGTAGTAGGGACGGCGGATTCTGCAAAACTTCTCTACCGTGAAGATGGTCCCTCTCGAGGCCGCCGGCCAGTCCACTCTTGCTCGGTAGTTTATGTGGCTGTCCCTGCTCGCTCTTCACCTTTATGTCGTGCATGTACGTCTGATACGTTGACGAATAGTTGAATAGATTCACGTTCGGCTCAGCTTTCGGTAGCGAGCCGTGTGACGGTCCCACCACCGGTGGTAATTTCTCGTGCAGAGCGCCAACTGGCAACGATGTCTTTGACGTTCGCGAATGCGCCGGTGGTGGCGGGTATTCCACTTTTCCGGGTACGCTTGAGGGTCGGGATACCTGAGAAACATTCAAATTCCTAAATAAACCTATCAAAATATGTTTAATGTTGATTTATTTCATTTTTCGCTAATGTAACATTCATTTTTACTTAATTACCTCTGCAAAGTTGGCATTCCGTTTTTGAAAAAATTAATTTTTTATTGAAGTTCTGGATGCACTTCAAAGAGTTTTAGAGTTCTTCATAAAATTTAGAAATATCTGGTGAATTAAATAAAAAAATCCATTACTGAAATTGTGGGCTGCTAACTTCGCAAAACGCAATCATAAAATTAACGATAACATCTTAACCGTTGAAAATAATTAAAAATGTCATTAGGATTTTAAGGTGCTATCCAGAATTCCAATAAAATAATCAAAATTCTTCGATTGAAAACATTCCCAGTCCCGAGGGGTGAGAATTTTTTGGAATTTTGTTCCTCGAAGCCTTTGAGATACATTCAGAACTTTAACAAAAAATAAATTTTTTCGAAAATGGGGTGCCAACTTGACGGAGGTGATTCAGTTGTAAGAGTGGAAATATATCTACGAATGTCAAACTTTCCGCATCTTGTATGAATGCCTGGTTTAGATTGTTTATCCGGCGATTACAACATATTTGTAAAACTTTTCATACGTATGACAGCGTACCTGTTGAGCCGGCGGCGCATAATAGGTTCTCTGTTGCGCGACAACAGCGTGTTCCCTGGTATCCACCGGCCGATGTAATCTCTCGACCACCATATGCTGCTGCTCTCGCTCACGTTCCCGATGCTCCCGATGCTCGCGTTCCCGATGCTCGCGCTCCCGGTGTTCGCGCTCTCGATGCTCCCGGTGCTCCCGCTCACGGGCATCCCGCATCGCTTCCCGTTCGCGTTCCCGCGCTTCCCGTTCCAGCGTTTCCCGCTGCTGCTGCGCTATAGTCACGGGATATGGGGCGGCGGCAGCGGTCGCACTTGGAGGACCGCCAGGATGACCGTGATGGCCGGCAGCAGCGTGCGCGGTTAACGGATGTGGCGGTGGTGCTCCGTGTGCCCTTCCCGGCGCCGGTAGAATGTTGCTCCATGGCATCGAGACCGACTGCATGTTTCTCTGTTGAATATAAGACACCTACTTCAATAAATACTGCCAATCATTTTCGCCACTTATCGCTAATTGTTTCTTCTTCGAGAAAGTTGTTTGTGAAAAAAATGTTCTTGTATTTAGCATTTTACCTTAAATTGAAAGTAAGAAACTGTTATAAGACATATATATTAAAAAAACACGGTCTGACGTCACAAATCAGTGCACATCTTTCTAAACTATAAATCCGGTGCATTGGAAAATGACACATAATTTAATTTTTGTAATGAGTATCGCGGAAATCATTCATCCAAAATAAGTAATTCTGAGTTTGTTGGAAGTATTTTGGCTTTCAAATAAAATTTGTTTCCCGCTGCGACTTTCGGTGCGAAATTATCGATAATCATATCAACTCGTTTCGATTACATTCCGAGCGATGGCGATCTAAGTCAAATCGACAATACAGCATCGCTCTTTTATATGAATCAATGACCTGGAGAACCGTAACCTACCTAACCTGCTATTGCCGAGCTATTGATCAGCTGATCGTAGTACCGTAATAGTTATGTAATATGCGTACGCGCACACATGCATACATGCATCACGCGCGTCGCGTCTATTTAAATGGTGCGCACGTGTCAAATTTTTTAAATCCTATCTCGATGAAAAATTAACATAGCGACATGAAACAAAGATGAATATTCTGCTTCGTATTTTGCAGATGCCTAGGCTTATTGTATATACTTTTATAAAACCTAACTTAAACTTTGCGTATAAGCTTTACTTATATAAATAAATTATAAAACATAAAAAGACTATCTATATATCTGGAATTACTTATTTATTTGTGAATAATATTCATGTTTAGCTTGCAAAAGCTATCAAAGATTAACCTCAGGCATTGAATTCAATCTATCAAGAAGTTTTTCAAGTATATGAATATTAATTTGAATATTTCTACGCTCTGCAGCCTAAATGTATTATAATATTACATATTTTTATATTCATTTTAGAAATGTTTCTGATTTATATTCAAAATTGACTTTCTTTCTACTTCGTAATTGTGAAAAACAAAATAACTGTACAGATTATTTTTAATCAATGTTTTAAACCCGGAATTTACTTTTGTAAAAATGAATTATAGCGCAATTGATACAGTTTTGTTATGATAAGAATGTATAAAACAATTCAAAATATTTATAAAAAAAATCCTGGATATAAATTTGTGCATTTTTCGCATCTTCCACGTACGTTCCAAAGTCAATGTTTACCGTCACATTCCATTGTTATGCAAATACATAGTCGAGACATAGCGTCACTCAATTGTCGGGCAAATAATGAATAAACACAGACGTAATTATTGTTCCTTGTGCATAAAGTAAAAGAACGCGATAAAAGACATAAATACGATAGCTTCCAATTGCGATCTACGGATAATATAATGCACGCTCGCGTATGTATAAATAACGAATCACACTTGCTTTCTGAAATATCACGTTCCGTTCACATGGTTACCCTAAATGCTTCGCCAGACGTATCTCATTAATATATACGACACAGACACGATGCTCGCAGACTCGCGATCTTCACAGCGCGGAGCCAATAAAATACACAACGCTCGCATAATTGCCGGGATTTTCCACATGTGTCATCGAGCTATTAAGATACTCGATGTGTTTAAATAAAATCATCTTTTCTCGCGCATTTCAATTCGCATGTTATAATGTCATGTACATACACTTAGGATTAGATAAACATTCGCGTTGTAAAAAATCGTATCGCAGTTCCGATTGAAAAAAAAGCACAAGTTAAAGTAATGGATGGAAAATTTTTTATTTCCTAATTCAAAACTAACACAGTGCGGATGGAAAGATGATTGATCTGCAAAATTTTATCTTTGTGGTTTTTTTTTTTCAATTTACGTCGTGTCTTATTAAAAGTTTACCGAGCAATTTAGAGATCGATAGGAGGAAAAGTGAATTAAAACATTGTTCTTGCTATCATGAGAGAGAAAGAGACGCACGATTTGTGTTATAAACGTCGCGCGAGATTGTATCGAGACGAACTGATTTCGTTGATGCTACAGTACCGTAAGATACCTTGAGAAAACACACTCTTTGCGAAGTTATCGAACGAACTTCGACGTGTAACTAAGTAACTTCTCCGGGAGGATCAAACAAACAACTTCCGTTCGCTGCCGACGCTCGTCAATTAAACTCGACGGAACTCGTTTCTGGAGCGACTGGAAAGCTGTAAATTAATGTAATCAAGTAACCGGCATATCAGGTCTTCGACGTGGAGAGAGAGAGAGAGAGATGGTAAATATTGTATCGACTGTTTTCCCCGGGATTCGAGATTCCGGTAAATGGACTAGTTACTCGAGTTACTATATTCGCCAAGTTTACAGCACTTCGTTAAAATTTCTCCATAAGTTTATAATCCATCAAAATATGCAGTTCAACCTATTTACTATTTTTTCTTATAAATAAAACATTTATTTCATATGTTTCAAACTGCTTCTTCCCTAAATACAGTACGTGTCTTTAAAATTTATTCGCGCGAGAAATTGAAGAAACACGTTTCATGCCGAGTCGATGTTTACTTACTTCTAAAAATTCTCCAATTTAGAAGACATTTTTTATATTTTTCCTAATTTATATATGAAACTTCTTCAATTGAATAACTAATATTTTTGTTTAAAGAAAATATAACTCATATATATGTACATAATTTTTTCAAGCCGAGTAAAGAACGTGTCAAGGTCGCCTCAAGATCTTTGAGTCAAACCGAAGGAAGACGTCGACGTCGCGTAAGACAAGATTTGACGAGGTCGAGAGCGAGAGCTTGCAAACTGCGAATCTAATTATAGGCTTAAGAGAGAAGAAGGTTTACTATGCTAATCGAGACGCAAGTAAATGTCAACCCACGTTCTGTTTACCTCGATGCTCGCGTCATTTGCCTCGAGTGCGCTTTATCAGCGTACGTATATGGACACGTCGCAGCGTTACAAAAGAAAATGCAACGCACGCGAAGCGCTCGACAAAAGCCCGTAAAGTCCTCGTTAAAAGCGCTCGACAAACGTTTATGTACATGCTGTATGTATATCTATTATGTGCGAGTCAAACCGCTATAGCTGAAAACATTTATCTAAAAAAAGCTCGGAACTTTGCACGAGTGTAATCGTAATTATTTATATCGCACATTTATCATTGGCATGCAAGAGAATTATAATCACGTTTCTCACGAAACATAAACATATTTTTACATAAAATAATATTTTTTCAATCGTATTCCACCGTACTCGGTCGTGTAACAACGCGCGGACTTGCGCGGACTCACCGAATGACTTTGCGCCTACTATTTGCGTTTAACAAATGACAGGGATACATTATGGCAATTTGGCTTGCTCGGTGTGTCTTCAATCTATACTTCAATAATGACGTATAGTGCCTCGGCACTATATTTAAAGCAGGCCACCGGGTATGTGTCGTGCATGATGTAGAACGGCGGTGAGCAAGTCGAGCATCGCTGCGGGGAAGAGGACGAGGACGAAAAGGGAGGAACGGAGACGGATTATGACCGATTGCACGTAATAAAAGCGGCGTGCCATTCAGAGTCAATCAAGTGTCGCTCGCTATTGGTTCGTTGACTTTCTCCTGCTGAACTCTCAACCCGCGCCGATTAACTTCTCACGCGAGGCGTGTGCTTTTTTTACCGTCTCATTTGTACGACGCGTACATATTACAATCGTTATTACTCCCTTACGAGGGAATTTTCGCTATATTTTTATTCGAAGATAGATATATATATATATACACACACGACGAGGGTTTCGCAATACCGCCGGCGGCAAACACCGAGGTCACATTTACGGTGAACGATAATGTAATTCAGAATAGAAATTGCCACGGTAATTCATAGCTAGTTTCATGGGACATTGACGCTAGCCGTATCCAAAGTATAATATTGTGAAAACTTTCTAATATCCAGAGCAAAGTTTGCATTAGCATCTACCGTGTAATCGCGATAGTGAAGAGCGTGCCATACTGCGATAAAACAGATAACGCGGCGATAACGAGAGAGCAAGCCTTACTTCATAAAAAGTCGAGATTTCTATATTAACTTTCACTATCTTATCGCCGTTGTGAAATGCGACATAATAAAATTTTGCCTAATGTCAATTATGTTGCGCGCTTAGGAATTAATTAAAATCACGATAAGAATTCAACGTGTTATCCCTCTTCAATGCCTCGCATCGCCATAAATTTCTTCATATCGTCCTCCGTGCCATCGCTCCGATTACTTCGCTTATCGCGCGCGCCTTTATTGCGTGTGTTATTACAGAGAGGAAATGATTTGCGCAGATAGCGCGCGCAGCTCTGAGTCATTACTCAAGGAAAGTTTAGGTCGTCTCGTAATACGATCGACACAACAATAATCGAGTATATTACGCGCATAGCGGGACTAGCGCGCCGCGTCGAGAGTATCGGAAATCGCGCCGGCGAGTGAACGTGATCGAACTTCAAACACATTCCCGGAGTAATAACGAGAGACCGAAGACGGTTTTTTACCATCAAGGACATTCATCAAACGGCATGGGATTGACGATTTATAACGGCACCGCCTCTCTGGTTGTCCACTTTTACGAGCGCGTCTGAAAGTAGCGCGTGTCCTTGAAGCAAAGCATGCGGTATTAATAGATTAAGGATCACGATTAAATTATTCCTTGCACAAACCCAACGGAAATCAATTCGTGTCACTGTGAAAGATGCGAGAGAAAATATTTCAACGTTTATTCAGCGTGTTCCGAGTGTATGCGCTTTCAAAATAGAAACACGCTAACAATTTACGTTTTGCACAAGCTCCTTCTTCTGTTTCTGTAACATCCAACAACAAAGGCAGGCTATTTCGACGAATCAGATGGCGCAATTAAACATCGCTTTTATAAGAAGCAAAGGACCACTTGAAATATTCGATGCACAAAGGAGAAATCTCACAACCCCCTTTTTCGATCATTCTCATGGCACCCTTCCTATCGTGCGCCCTAT